CTTAACCAAACACAGCAGAAAAGGCACTGCAGATGTCAAGTAATTTGCACATATAAATGGATTTTGAGAAAAAAAAAAACTTACAAAACCTAAAAACATATACATATTTAACTAAACATTTGGCTTTCCAAAGCAAATTAAAATCTTGGGTATAAAGTTTGGAGAGCAGAATGCGTGAGTGTGAAGCACTGAAAGAAAAAAATGTGAGAACTGAGTGTGAAAAGAAAATTTACTATGACAGCTCTAATTGCTGTCGTATTATCAATACGATAAAGTGAATTCTTAGTTTTTAAAGGAGCACGTGGCATTTAAAAGGGGAAGAAATATTACCTGTGGAAATTATGGGTTTCTTGACTGATGACAACTTACTTAGAATAGCAAATAAAAGCATCAGAGAATAGTTACATAACGTTTGTCTTCCATTGGCACTGTAAATCACAAGTGAGAGATCAAAGTCTCTCCTCCTAAGCTATTTTATATTCTCAAAAAAAACAATTTAAAAAAAAAAAAAACACAAAAGATACTATTATACATTTGCTGGTAGTAATGACAACCAACATGCTTATCATAAATAACAAAGGTTTGCTTCACAGATCCAAGAATACAACCCAGACAAAAGCATAAAGGACAGCCAGCGTTGTAATTTGATTAGCTCTAGGCATTTACAAAGCAAGTTTCATCTTCAGTCTCAACTTGACATTTAAAAGAATGCTTAAAGCAGTTTGGTTTTGCAAATGCCACTTTTGGAGTGCTTTTCCATAGAGATGTCTAGCCAGCTTCTCACATTTTCTCAAGTACTAACAACAGAAGGCCAGGTTCTATAAATAACAATTTTTAGAAGCTAAACAGGTAAATCTCAAGAACAATTCTGGTTTTTTTACAATTTACAATAACAATTCTGGTTAGTTTAGTTTCAGCTCTTCACTGAAATGGAGAAATGATTTCTCTCTCAATCAGCATGAACGCTAAACTACTACTGAATTCCATTTACTAATAATAGTTTCCCATGAATATGGAAGAATAGAAGGAAAATCCAAAGCGTATTTTGTTTTCTAGTCTTTTAAGGCAGCCAAGGAAGTCAGGAAACTAGACAGGAAACATAGGACTGATTACTGCTGCTTAAATACGTAATCTGGTAGACAGCATCAGACATTGTAACACAATATTCAGATCCAAATGCTGTCAAGTACAGCCTGTTCTACAACAGATAAACGTAATGTAAGCTTGTCATATAGCATTACATATACACTGGATTTGAAAAATAAAGGGCTTTTTTGTTTGATTTACAGTCAAACTGTCCTTCTCAGTTCCTAGCAATCGCTTCTGATCTGACCGGCTAGTTTCAACCAAACCTGACAGTAAAAAGCAAGTTTTGGTCACGGCTGCATGCAGAGAAGGGGATAAAAGGACACTGCTACGTAGTGCCCCATGGAGGAAAATGGTTCGGTGACCGTTCAGTCATCAGTACAGCTGCCAGGTGGACTGTCCATAGACCAGAAGCGATCCAAACCTTGTGCTGCCTCTTGCCTTGGCATCATTTAAAGAGCCTAGGATGGAACTGGGCTTACTGCTATGTTAGGTAGAAGGGATCAGAAACAGAAATCAGGCATCATATTTCACTTTGAAAAACAACTTACGTTTTGCTACCATCCATACATAAGGATAAAAGCTTTGGGTTTTTGTACTTTACAAACGAGAAAACTAAAACACCATTAAGTCTTGGAAAAATTTACAAGCACACAACACTTTCACTTGCTGCATTCAGTGCCTAAGATGGTGCCAGTCAATATGTAATATTTTTTCCTCATCTCAAAAGATGGATTAAGGTTTCAATTAATACGCTTTATTTAAATTTTACACTGAGGACGGCACGTGTTACTTTCCCATGAGCATCTGAACGTTGCTAAATGACGCAGTAGAAGTGCTTTCTGAAGTCATGGCCCTGTGCTCACAGCATCCTCACAACTCTGTTACTCCCATTTTACAAACTGAAATTAGAGGTGCAGCGAGGTTGCTGATCAATGACCATCCGTTACTTCTGAGGCAGTTAAGGGCAGCTTTTTTCCAAATCCTTCATACCATGTAGAGCTACTTGGGTTAGAAACCACTCCCTTTGAGTTTGGTAAAGCCATGAACGCTAATCACTTTTGCACAACAAACTCAATATCCTGACACCATGAACACAGAATTATAAACAGCTAGAGTTTATAACACTAACAGACCTGTGCTAAACTCATTTGAACTCCAGCACAACGTGGAAGTTTGGGGAAACCCAAATTTAATCCTGTTTGAAAAAAACATATTTAAAAATACTCCGTGACAAGAAGCTGTTTATGTTTAGTAATGCATTCCAGTGATTAATTAATCCAGTAAGAACACACCCCTTATTTGAAGTCTGAACTTGCTCAGTTCAGCTTCCAGCCACAGAATGTGGTACACCTTTGTCAGCTGAAGAGAAGGTTGCTTTTATCGAATACCTCTTCCTCAAGTAGGTACATACTGACTAATGAAGAAACACTTAACATTTCCTTAGCTAAGCTCAACAAACTAAGCACCTTACATCTTAGCTACTAAGTTACTTAGTTACTATTCTCTGGAAGCTGATTTTTCACCATCCTCCCTGGACTGTTAACATCAGATGAACTGCTCCAGTAAGAGCTACAGCTCACAACCTCCTTATTTCCAATTCCCTTGTGCAACTACTCGAAGTTTTTCACCAGACCATTTAAGCTGCAGACAAAAGTGTTGACTCCAAGTTCAACTCCTATCAGTCATCAACTCCAAATCTTTTACAGAGTCTCAGACTGAGCTGCACTGATTCTGCCATGAAGTGTGTCACATATCCTTTCACGTGTCCAATTTATTAGTAATCTAAATCAATTTGCAACTTTAATGTTATTTTAGTCACAAATTTATATTTACGATTTTCTAGGTAAGCAAAAATTCCACAACAGTTATTTACAATTAGAATCTTGAACACCCTGTCACCTCAAGTAGCAGAAGTTAATGCAATGCGTGCAACAGCAGACTTATCTCTAGTATGCACCAACACCTGCAGAAACATAACACACTGCTGTTGGATTTTGCGTATTACTCATACACAGCCCTGCCTAGGGATCCGTGTTTGCAAGAACCCAAATCTCTAGCCAAGGCCCTTCTAAGATTCTTAACTAATATGAATTACTACAGCTTATCTTGTAACATTAAATTTAACAAATGTTTAAAATACTTCAGCACCAACCCACAAGCAACGTGTGTTAAAGATGGTGATAAATGAAAATACAGTTGGATTTCCATTTAATAATTTCACAAACTATAGGTGCTTTAAAAAACCACATACAAGCTTTCAATCTGTGCATATATGTAATTACACAGATCATTGATGATTTTATTTAAAAGGTAAGATCTCATAGAGCAATTCAAAAAGACAGAGCTGTGACCAGAGCACAAGTTCCTGCCCAAAATTCCAGAACTCCTTACCAAAGTGTTCACAGTCAGAATCAAGGGCAGCATAGCAGGTATCGCAAATGCCTCAAAGCACTAACATAATGGAAACCTTTACAGAATCACAGAACCACTAAGGTTGAAAAATATCTGTAAGATCATCTAGCCCAACCATCAACCCAACACCACCATACCCGCTAACCCATGTCCTCAAGTGCTCCGTCTACGCGTTCCTTCAACACCTCCAGGGATGGTGACTCCACCACTTCCCTGGGCAGCCTACACATTCAAGCTTTATCTTCTTCATATGTAGGATGAATTAGGAACACAACAATCTCAGGCTACTTCGTATTGTCCAACCCTAACACCTTTGTGAATACCAACGCTGTCCCTCTGACTGTGCGCAGGGTAGCAGCCTGAACTGTCAGAGCCTCCCATCCAGCTCCGCATCACCATTTCAATGGAGGTGGAGGGGGAACAGGGATTGTTTAAAGGAGAAGAGAAAGAAAAATATTATCCTCCAATAAAATGTCTCCTCTTTTTCAAAGGGCTGCATAATATTTTCCCAACACATGGGAGTGTACATACCTACAAACAATTATTTCCTGGCTTTTTAAAGCACTATAAAGTTGGGTGCCGTAATTAGGATGCTATCTTTTGTACCTGAACTTTAAACGCACTTACACAGGGTTTAATCTTCATCTTTAGAAAATTACACTGTAGAAGGAAATCCATTCCTCTTAAGTCAGCCAGTTCCACACCTCTGATGTGCGTATTTCTGGTATGATAGTTGCTGTGACCTCAGGAGCATCAGAGGGAAAAGGCCCACCAGTCTTAATCAAGTTCCTGCCACGGTTTCTCTCTCACACTGGAGTGACAAGTAGGTTGCCCATACTAGGAAATAATTCCAAGACTTGACTTTCAGTGACATCTGAGTTGATGTGATCCTCCGTGGATCATATAATGAACCCACACACACATTCATACAGCTTACATCTTCTGAAGCACTTTCTGATCAGTCCCACCCAGTTCCTGCACTGAGTAGGCAAGGATTTGCCAAGCTGTTACCTTCACTTCTGCATTAGTTAACATAGGTTCACCCACAAAAGGAATTTACACTGCTCCAGAGCATAAGGCCTTTTGGGATTCTATAAACTTAAGTAGAAGGGAAGGCAGAAAAAAAAAATCTTCACCTAGTTAGAGTATGCATTAGTTAGAGTAAGCATTGCATTAGAAGGGAACCACCAGGGTGAGCAATATTTAATGGCAGCAAAATAAAATAAAATTAAAGAAAAAATAGAAGGCAAAGCACTGAAACAGCTGGAAAAATCTTGTAAACCCTTATTTGAAGTCCTAACTTAAAAAAAAAAATAAAAAGCAACACCAAGCAGAACAGTTCCTGTTCCCCCATTCCCTGATGATTTTCCAGCTGGTACCTGCTTGAAGATTCCTGCTAGAAGCTTCTTCTGGTTTTCATCTTCCTGTCATTTTCATTCTTCTGAGATTTTATTACTTGACTCTAAGTCAAAAAACTTAAGAAAGGAGGAAGAACTTACTGGTATTGAGAACTCCTCTGCCAAATACTTCAGCACTGATGCTCCTCTAGCCAAAAAGTTACTTCTCTCTGCCAGATTGCCTTGGAGTTGTGTGTCAAACTCCTTTCTGACAACTGAAGCAACAGAGTCAATTATTATGAGTTTAACTTTCTTTGAAATAATTTCTTCTTCCAAAGACATAATCCTAAAAAAAAAAAAAAACCAACAGAAAAGTGATTTATAATGTTATTTATAAAATAGAACCATTTTATAACCCTGAAATTGTTTAAATAAAAGGTTTATTTTAATAAACCAAAAGCCAACCCCTCTTTCCCCCCTGCCACCTCACACACCACCTCCACTAACATCTGCATGTATTGAAGAGCTTTGGAAAGGAATCTGAGGCTCCAGTGGGCCACATAATCCAGTGCAGGACCGCTCCGAAGGAGAGGTTTGGAAGAACCTCTAGTTAGCAACGCAGTGCTGTACAACCCTGAACGGCAGGCAAGCTAAGTGGACATTGAAGCTGTGCCTTGTGGCTGGCAGGATCACCGTCCCATTGCCAACAGCAGAACCCTTAGTGTCAATGTATGTCGAAAGTCAAATCTGTTTCCTTATACCTCCAAAGGTAGTATGCCAAACTTAATCCATTGATAACATGTCACTAGCTGTTCTTTGATAAAACTGCACTAACTGCACTAGAAGAATAAATTAATCTTAGACGAATTCTCCCACTAGTATAAAATACACGAGATGATGCTAAAGTATAACTTCTCTCATTTTCATTGCAAAATGTGCCCACAAACTAACTTAAAGGTCACAACATGACAATACAACACTGCCAACAGCAGCATTCAGGCTGACGACGTGAAACTATTCCTCCCTTCCACTGCTAGAGATGTCCCAGTCTTCCTGGAAGTAAACTGTGAAATTTGGAGGAGCAAATTACTATTTCAGAGAAAACGTAACTCAAACTGTGGTCTCTCCACGACGAAAAGACAAGACCAGACCTGTCACATGAACACTCCCCTTTAAAGTCTTACAGGGATCAAATCATAAAGAAATTGTCTATCAGAAGTTAGAAAATGTCAAGTGAATTAGTCACATGCTATGAAATGAGAGGAACAATATCAGTCTTTCTCTAGCAAATTTACTTTCTTGGAGACCATGCTGTTATCAACATGAAAAGGCCTCAAATAAATGAATTACTCATCATAAAACTTTGATATACAACAAATATTGTTATAGACAGTAACAACAATCCTGTCAAAATGGTCTGGGTTGTTTTTTTTTTAAACTCTGGAAAAGAATACCTCTTCAGTACATTGCCACAGGTCAGCTCTCGATACAGGTGAATGCTACGGGTCATGCAGAACAGCTTTTCATCAGAGTCAAAATAAGTAGGGAATCTGTTTCCTGCTATCTCAATCAACCTATCAGTAAAAAACCAGAAGACATAACACTGAAAAAGGAATGATAAGGCATCAAGTATTCACAAAGCAAACCTCCAAATGATAAGTAGATACCCAGGAACACTGGTTTCAAGGGAGAAGCGTACTTTAGCAGTCAGACCGAAATACTGGAAGTCAGAACAGTTAGGTTCTCTTCCTTCTTGTGCTAGTCAGTGGTACACTAGACGTACACAAAGGAACACAATCTCCTGTAGAAGGAAACTGCAAAGTTTAGTTACTGCATGCAAAGTTCTTTGAGTTTTGTACAAGAGGCTCCACTCGATGGCCAAGCCTTCTCCTTTTAGTCATTATATGTAAATATTCTTTTCATTTAAACAAATGTACTCCCCAATTCAAACCATCTTCCCTTCCACCTTTATCTGGCAGTGAAATCAAAGTAGACCTTGTGTCACCACAGAAATTTAACAGGCAGATAAACTGAAGATCCACTGCAAGATCCAGCCACCACAGAAGTGGGACTGCAAAGAACAGGGCCCAGTTTGACTGCAAGTACTTAGACAAGCAGTACACGTACAGAAAGTCTGCCTGCCAAGGGAAAAATCTCTTCACAGGTAATCTTCCCTTAAACAAAAGGTTATTTGGATGGGAGACTTTTTCACTGAAACCATTTCCATTGTGCCAGTTACCTATGTGTGAAAAGGGCTTACAAAATCTTTAAAAATATGTACTTTTTAGAACATTGGGGGGGGGGAAATCAGCATTGTATCATAAAGTGACTGAGGCTCCAGCTGCCAGGCAGCCAGGACTGAACAGCCACCCATTTCGACAGCACAGGTACAACTGGCATGAATTGGTACAATGAAATGACTGAACAGTTTAAGTGGCTGCTTCACCGACAGAACTGAATGTGGGATTCCATGATTAAACGTTCTCCATTACCTTATTAGCAAATTCATGACCTTCAAACCCTTGAATTACAATTGTTAAGCATACCACGCTTTATTATCGGAGTAAACTACGGAAGTGTATTAGGTGACCGGTGATAGCACCAAAAGAAGTCACAGAAAGTTGGATAGTTATTTGTTGTCAAAACGCTTTTACATTCAGAAACTATGCTTTGAAAAAACCTCTTGCCCAGATTTAAAGCTCAACAATTTACTGATGAGAGGTCAACATTTTCACTTAAATGAGGTTTAATACAGAAAATCATTGAGGACACTGAAGTCTTCAGAAGCCAGTGGGAAAAAGTTCCACCTCTCTGAACACAAGGCAATTTTACCTAGGTCCTTAAATAAAAGATCGAAAAATCTAACTTAGAAACTCACAGTTACAATCGAAGCACTGTAGATTTTTTTCCACGATGAAGATTTTGCCTTTTTAATAACAGAAAGCACTTAATTGACTGCATTTCAAGCAGACATATCGCACGGCTTGAGCAGGGTGGCACCTAGTGGATGATACCTGTAGGCACAACTCGGGAGCTACCCGGATGCGTTTTATTTAGGCCATTTTCACTAAAACCCAAAATGCCAAAGCTGTTTTGGAAAAACACGTTTAAATCGAAAACAGAAACACTAAGTTTGAATGCTGATACACCTATCCTGAGCAACCAATTTCACTACAATAGCCTGAATCTCGTTCATTAGATCCATTACTTGTAATGTCTGAACTTGTCCTGCAGAACTTCGAGGCACAGAATCTTGTCTTTGCATTTGCGTAATTAATCATACAGACCATTTGGGCAACAGAGATCTGTCAATGGTCTGCATGAAATGAGATTTCAGTACACTTCCTAATGGGCATGCATAGCACAAAGAACATCATTACACAGATGGCTTAAAACGACACACCAAAATCTTGCTGAGATGGCAGTTCTATTCACAGAAGTCCATGCAGGCTCAAAGTTCTTTAAGATCTAAATCCTGTTTGTCATGACAAGACCAAAAACTGCACAGAACGTGTTCTCTGCAACCAGGGCAGAGGCCCATGGGGTGGAAAACCCCTTTTTGTTCTCAGCTTTGGTTCACAGAAATTTGTATCCAGTGTTTTTCACAAGCACCAAGTATAGCTAGAGAGAAAAGCAAAGCAAACCAAACCAATTATTTTTAGACTTCCCAAATAAAAGTCTGGTATGTTGTCACTTAATATCTGGCTAGAGTTGGATTCAATTGCTACAAAATGATGACAACGATTTTCATTTCCAGATTTACTATGGCCATTCCATCTACCTGTCCTAGTGTCCGTGTTCTGACAAAGCTGAATGACAGACACCATCTGCACTGTTATGTCTTTCTCGTACAAGAGAGAAAAAGATACAAATCCCAGAAAGTGGCATATCTTAGATGACCAGCCTCAATTCTGATCACTCTTCTCAGCATTGTTACCAGACTGAAGTAAACCGTCATGTTAAAAAGTAATAAGACTATGAAGGTGTGTGGAAGCAAAGTGTTCACTGCCCTGGCCTAAGACCTGCCATGCAGAAAGACAAAACGGAAGTGCCTTTTATCAAAAGAAATAAAGTTAGCCAGCTTTATTCAGTATCTTTCTAGAAGCAGCATGGCATTAGAGCCAGCATGATAGCTACAACCTTGCAACTGTCAGCTATAAAAAGCAGCAGGTATACAAACACTCTTCACAGGCCTTTAGATAGACTTTTGAGTTTTAAATAAAAATAGTGCCAGCTAAGTGTGTCCATTAACCCCTTTAAAATAAGTTGCTATTAGATGAATATTTGTCCTCTTATCTGAAGTGTTTACAACAAAAGCTCTTCTACTTGCCATCTATTAATACCAACAGGATTATAAAATTATAATAAAATTCAGGTTAGAAGAGAATTTGGGAAATCCCCAGGCCAACATCCTGTTCCAAGTAGTGCCACTTATGAAGTCAGAATGAGTTCCTCGAGGCTTTATCTAGCTGAAAGCCTGCAAGGATGGAGGTAGCACAACCTCTCTGGGCAAGCTGTTGCAATTCCTGACTGTCCTTATGGTGAAAAAGCTTCACATATATCAGCACAGAAATCACAGAATGGTTTGGGCTGGCAGGGACCTTAAAGATTATCTAGTCCCAACCCCCCTGCCATGGGCAGGGACCCCTTCCACTAGACCAGGTTGCTCAAAGCCTCATCCAGCCTGGCGTTGAACACTTCCAGGGATGGGGCATCCACAGCTTCTCTGGGCAACCTGTTCCAGTGCCTCACCACCCTCTCTGTGAAGAATTTCTTCCTGATGTCCAATCTAAACCTCCCCGCTTTCAATTTAAACGCATTACCCCTTGTCCTGTCACTACAGGCCCTTGTAAAACGTCCCCTCCCAGCTTCCTGGTAGCCCCTTCAGGCACTGGAAGGTGCTATAAGGTCTCCCCAGAGCCTTCTCTTCTCCAGGCTCAACAAGACCAACTCTCTTCCCCTGTCCCCATATGAGAGGTGCTCCAGTGCATGTCTGCTCTCTCCCTGCCATGCACCAGATTCATCTTCTTGATGGCCTACTCATTGGTAGGGGAAAGCTGCTGTTTTACTGTTTTGCAGACACCCCCAAGCCTTCATATTCTAGACTGAGCAAGCCCTCACAACAAGTCTCTCCACAAAGGACAAGAGCCCATCCAGCCCCCACCCATCTTGGTAGTCCCTTGCTTAACTCCCTGCACTTTGTCACACCTTTCTCAAACCAAGAGCCCAAAACTGGACACAGAATCTAGATGTAGTCAAATAAGTACCAAGTAGAAGGGGATAATCACTTCCCTCACTCTGCTGGTGCTGCTCCTACAGGCTGCAACACAAAGCATGAGATCTAGCTTGTCTTCTGAAATTGTGTTACCGTTTCCATCTGAGCAATACTAAATATGATTTAATACATCAACATTCTCATTCTTAGTAATAATGTCATTTTTAACACACTTCCTTGCTACCTCCTACTCTATTTGCAGCCATTTCATTTTCACATTCACCTGTTTTCCTTCTCTTTAGCATCCGTTCTAAGCAACAAGTCTTAACTCGCCCATTGGTAAAAAAAGAGTAGGACCTATCTACATTTCAGTGACCTGAAATAAAGATGCAGTGGTGTGCAAGAAGGGTGCACCATACTTTGCACAGCCATTGCTTAAGGCTTTTTACTTTGATATATTACACTTCCAGTTTAAAGTAATTCAAACTTTTGTGACATCAGCCTGAGAAAAACAGTATTGGAAACCACACTTCCTCATCCAAATGATGAGAATGATTATGATAATCATTTGACACTCATGATCCAATGAGTGTCAAATGATTAAACAATGCAAATACATTTCCTTTGATACTCCAGATTCAGGCCATGGGTTTAACTACCAATTCATCTGAAATACATATTATTCCAATTAACCTTTTTCTGCCCATTTTTTGACACAAACAAGGATCAAACTGCTGTACTACCTGTCCTCCCCCAAACCCTTAATGGCTTCTGAACTCACTAATTCCAAACAACAGTGACAAAGGAATAAACATCAAATTCCTCATGGTTTAGAAAAGTTGGTAGCTAAGTAAATTAGAGCTACCTTTAATGAAATACTGCTGAAATAGTTCTGCAGTTAGTTAACAAGGGAAGAGTGGTAAGTATCGCGTGTATACATCTGTACCCCTCAACCAGGTGCAGCACACAGCGTCTCCTATCCAGTCAGCCCTTAGAAGACATCCTTAAGTGCATGGTAGAGCAGTCTCGGTCACATGGACAGAGCAGGAGATTTTAGAAGAACCCGAGATGTTAGAGGTCAGGGAAACTAGCACTGCATGGCCTCTAAGGATACAGGAGAGATGTGAGGTTACCGCAGATGGAAACTGAAGCGCAGATGAAGGGCAGGGGCCCCATCAGCAGAAATATGACAGAAATGTGAAGGAAAACTGGCTGTGTCAGTCCTACTAGGTCACAGAAAAACCTCCATTTCCTCTGCACTCAAAATGCTGTGCCTTTACGGCCTCAAAATCTTCCTGCTAACTCCACAAACCAAACTGCAAAAAAAGATTTCAGCTACAGGACTGTTCAAACCATGTATAAATTGGAAAGCACATCATCCACCTTGTCATGCCACAGTTAGAACCTGCAACATCATGCAAATTAGGACTGAACCATTCTATTGAAATTAATTTTATCATCCATGGAATAACTGCACATATAAGGTGAATGTTTAGTACCTACTACAGGTATTTATTTTATAAATGCATAATTACTGCTCAGAAAGTAACTGAAGGCTCCAAGACAAAAGGTGCTAAAGAACCTGAAAGTGTGTATTTAGAATTTTGCCTCTTACCTCTCAGCGCTGAACGCAGACTCTGTGTCAATGTATACAACAGCCCCATCTAGTCCTCCCATGCTTACAGGTAGTGTAGCCAGAACACTCATCATAATACAAAATTGAGTTTTACCACAACCTGGTGGGCTAGTTACCTGAAAAGAAAAAAGATGAGTAACATAAGAGATGACACATTCATTTCACCCTAATTCTACTTTTAACTAAGACCCATCAGCCAGAAGTCCTCAAACTCTGCTCTTCCAGTTATCAAAGGAGGAGACAGCCCCAAAAAGATAGAATGCAGCCCACAAAGAGCAATTTGCCCTTACTCTCAGATCTGTGCTTGCAGTCCAACTCATCAACCAAAGAACAAGCACTCCTTCAGACACAGCATTATGCTTGTACTTTATTTCTTTGACATCCTTTGTTACCTCTCATATTTGAGATCACTCACTCTCCCCTTCCTCTTACAAGGTCTTCCCTAGAGCCACACCTAGCTCTTTTCCATCTCCTACGGGCTACCTTCTAAAATAGAGCAGATTTAGAGGATTCACAGGTGTCATTCACATGACATCAATGGCCTTTAGAGCCCAAAACAAAGCCCACCCCTAATGAGTTCACAGATGTGAATGACTGCTTCGGAACCGTCAGTACCTTGGTTGCATCCAGGCCTCACCTGGAAATAACAAGGATGACAGCTTATATCCTGTAAAGACTAAATGTTCAATATGAACCACATATACATACACAGCAAATTTTATCTGCCCCAGAGACTACACCCTGCCATGCAGCATGTGTTTTGCCACTGGTGTTAACTCCCTATTACCACGTTTCAACATGAACACCATTTAATGATCCGGATGAGCTTGTCCATCTCAAGCTTCCACCTGTGCTTACTGAAAGTCTACTGCAGTTAAGCAATATCCAAAAAGAGCACACTAGGCTTGTGTGAAACTGTTCCGGGATGATTTAGATCCAAGAGAAAACCCACAGTGATCAAAAATATACAGTGTACGATGAGCTTAAGGGCAAGATTTTTCTACTAGAGATGGCAGTATGCTGTTCTTTATCCACTGCAGCTCTTGCAGAGATTACAAATGAACGCTGGGCTCTGCGTCTTCTGCACTCTGAAGTGACTTTAGGCACTAAAACCAGAGTGAGGGGTAGAGACTAAGTAATAATGCAAGATGAAGTAAGCCTCTCTGGGGAAATTAATTCATTAGTGACATGGATGATGGC